CCACCCTGCAGCCCTCATCAAGTATATCAAATATGTAAATGAAAACTGTTTTATTGAGGATTCAGCTTTAATAAAATAGAGTTTATCAAAGTTGAGAGAGCAGCAGAAATGTGAGCAGATGCACAGGGCTTTAAACTTCCTTTGCTTTCTGCATCAGTGTCTGCCGACATGCCCCAGCTGTGTCGGACTTGTGTGAACAACAACTTAGGACGTGAAACAGATGAGAAGATTTATTCAAGTCGGAAGACTCGGAAGCATAGGTTACCTCAACTTCATCCCGCGACCTGTCACATTCATTCAGATAATTCAATGTAAAGCTTTATCTATGCCTTTGCTGAGAGGAACTCACTAAATATTCTGACTCCAAAGTCCCACAGCTCGAACTACTTCACCAGACAACTTGAGTGTGCACAATTGACTTGAATCCAATAACTTCCTGTCAGCATCCAGATGTCACAGTTGAGTATCCCTTTCCAGACAGAGGACACCATCTGCACATGTTTGTCCCACGTGCTCATTATCGCTCCACAGAGGGAGACTTTATGCAATGCACGCTGTTGAAAACCATATTTTAGTGATGAGATCTGTCGCCTCTTTCAGTTACATGTCACGGTTTCAAGCAGCATGACATGACATAAAACTTGCATTGCGTATTTGCTAAGTGGTTGCTTTCAAACTTCACTATTTATTTAAACTGCAGCTGGCTTTCTGTTTGTTCTGTTCACTATTTTGGGGAGTTTGAATGAGCCAGGATATCGTCCATGCAGCTGAATTTGCCAATACGTGTTACCAAATTGCATCTACTAGTTTGTACTTTGTCACTTCTATTCTCTTCCTCCTTGTACGTCTCTCTGGTATTTCTGGCTCAGGAGCTCATCTGTAGTCTTATATGTTTTTGTTTTTTTAACATCACACCGACCTATCTCCAAAATGAGTAACAGTGCAGGGTTTTAACCACAATGTTTATACTAGTCAGATTAAGTTAATTTGTAATCCTTTAGTTTCTGGCTTTCTTATTACATTAGTTAGGTTATTCTTCATAATTAAGTGCCTAAATATGTATTAAACCCAAGTAAAGTAGTGCTTTATGTAATTTTTACAGGGTTTAATCCCTAATAAGTTATTTAGTCACACCTTAAATAACAATGCAGCAATGGTTAGACTTGTTAGGTTCATTTGGTAAAGGCAGTTTTGCCAGAAGGCACTTTTGTGGATTTGTCTTCATCAAAAGGTTTCTTGTTTATGTTGNCACGCAGAAAGATCCCGGTGTCCCCACTGGGACGCGAACTGGCGACCTTCTCGCTGCGAGGCAACAAGTGCTACCAACTGCACCACCTTGCAGCTACCCCACATGTTTTTCTGACTTATGTTCTGTACGCAAAAAAACAACACTTTTCATTTAGTACTATTCATACTGTTGTGGAAATTTTCTATGATCTTAATTAAGTCCAGTAGTCCGAGTTGTCTTGTTTTATTCAAAGCTTTGAAGGTACAGGTCATACAGAATGCAAGCAGTCTGCAGGAGAGTACACATGAGTGCAGGCAGCATAGTATTTTCATACATGTACAGGCGTGGTCTTTACTCCAACGGTAGTATAACAATCCCATGCTGGAAAACAACAGCTGGGTGTACAGGGTGTCCTCATCCACAGACATTAGAAGACTAAACACGCTGGATCAGCATCAAGAAGTTTAAACACGTTGGATGCACAACTTCTTCTTCCCATGTACGTCCACTAATGTTTTACCTAGATGTTATGAGAACACATTTTTGGGCCTGTAGCCTTTCCACTCAGCTTTAATGAAACTTAGAGAAACTTGCTTTGACATTCTTCATGCAGATGCAGTATTTTTTCTTTACAATACAACCTACTTGCCAACACAGTACATCAAATATGTAAATGAAAACTGTTTTGTTGAAGATTCAGCTTGAATAAAATACAGTTTATCAAAGTTGAGAGGTAATAGGTTATTTAGTCACACCTTAAATAACAAGGCAGCATGGTTAGACTTGTTAGGTTCATTTGGTAAAGGCAGTTTTGCCAGAAGGCACTCTTGTGGATTTGTCTTCATCAAAAGGTTTCTTGTTTATGTTGCGCACTCGTTTTCATTATTCATGTATTTTGACTTTTTTTCTGTTACTGGAAAGTAATTAAGTAACTTTGTTTACAAAAGTTGCCATAAAGTGAACACCGAGTTTTTAAAGTATTTTTGGGGGGTTTTTGTTGTTGTTGTTGTTTTTGTAACACTGAGGCTGTGTCCCAAATCATCCACTTCCTACTCCCTATATAGGGCATAAGGCGGGGATGTCCAATCCTGGTCCTGGAGGGCCACAGTCCTGCATGTTTTAGATGTTTCCCTCTTCCAACACACCTGATTCACATGATCAGCTCATCATCAAGTATATCCATCCATCCATTATCTATACACCGCTTAATC